ATACATATTTGATAAGACACCCAGGGTTCCATTTAAGAACCCTTCCCTCTTCTGATCCTTCACCAAACGGAGGCAAACAGTTTGTATCGAGCCTTGAGCTGTATGTTTCTAACAAAGGAGGTTCGTTTTATCTTGCCCACGAGACGGATGCTACCACAAACAACGAATGCGAGTTTTGTTGAGGAATGGATGGAGCGTAGTGATGAATACGAGAAAACCAAACTTCACGGTGAGGCATCTCTGGGTGACCCACCAGACACATCATCAGTTCGAGGTTTAATAGCCGTATTTACGCTCTCCTCTCCCTCCACGCCAACAAGGCAAACGGAGAGTCAACGACCAAATGGCACATCAACTCTTTGAATTTGGCGAAAAGGAGTTAATTCTCATTCCGTGAGTAGGTGGGCATCATCTTCACCGTGATATGTCACATACGCTTAATAAATAGTTCGTTTCCTAGACTAGCAGGAGGTGTCACCGTGTGCAACCAAATCGAAAGGTAGACATAGCCTCCTTCACCAGCCTCAAGCGATATTTGTGGCACACACTTGACTTCCGCACTTATGATCGGATAATTTGATGTCATGCTGTGGCTGGCTAACCACGTGGCGACTTTGAACATGTCTTCTTCGATGCTGTGCACTGCCGGGTGGATGGAGAGAGTACTGTGGAACTTTAAAGCCTTCACTCTGTACTTTAAAACCACGTCTTGATTAACTAACTACTTGATAATACGCTGAAAACAGCAGCTGCAACATTCCTACATCAGCCATGACAAGCCACAGATTCGGGGGGATGATGGTCGTCGGATCAAAACAAACAAGGCCATACAGGTTTGGATTCTCCAAACATCAATCGATGAAACGTTGTAACTACCAGCTCGTCATTTTCAAGGGACAGGCGCAAACGACTGAATGAACATATCCAAATTGTTTGACAGAAATGAAGCTAGTGCGGTTTATTAAAGGCACAAGGGGGCTATGTTCTGAATTTGAACCAGTGTTGGTTTGGACGAGAGTCGTACGAACTAGTCTGTATGCCGGACAAGGAAGCGGAACATGCGAACCAGGACGGGCTCGAAGAGTGTGTACGAGGGGAGGCAAGCTGGGAGAGCTTCTGTATCTATGCTCTGTAGTCTCTGCCTAAAGTCATAGGAAGCAAGCATAGCTCTATAAGAACCAGCTTCTCACGGACTAGTCTTGTCTAATTCCTCAAGTTTGGGATATTCAATCAACCGAACTCCCTCCGAAAAGTTCTCCTGCCGACAAATCAGCCCATTCTCTCGAAGCTTTTCCAAACCACCACCGCGTTAACGTTGCGTTTCTGTATTCCCGCATGGCAGAAATGTCCCGAACTTCTCGGAACCGCCACCAGCATGAATGCCAGTACTCCGGGTGCAAAGAGCGCCAAGTCAAAGTTCGGTATGAGAACCACTCTACCAGGATAAGGTCTCGGTACTGCCCGGATCGTAGGTCGACCTTCCCTCCCACCGACTCATGTCAACGTGCTGATGTGCCCCTTAGATACCTGCTGCCATTTCCCGAGATGTCCTGAAGGAAAGCTTTCTAAGCATGAGCTTTACTGTGCAAAACGTGAGTCTTCCGTTCAAGGCAGCCCCGGAACCTTTGTAACTTTCTAACGATTTGCAGATGGGTCATGTGGTATTTCAGATTGTAGTAACAGAGCGCCACATGGTTTGTGCATTTCAAAGACATGGTATTGTCGTTTCCGTAAGAGAATCCTTAAGAGGCTGCGTTTTGGTTATTATTACAGACTCATCTAACTCCCATCCTAGATATTATAATCTGCAAGTGGCACGACTGCTCCAAAGAGGCAGAGCCAAGAAACGAGTTTTGCGACGACCACAGAGACGCGGTCGAGCGCGAGAAGCTCTACCCAGACCCGCCGGTCGTCCTCCCCGCATACGTACAGGAGCGCAGCATCCCAGAGTGCGTCCAGGAGCTACCCCAGGACATTGTGCAGGAGTGCGTGGTCGGCGGCTGCACCCGCCACTGCGCGCCGGCGAATCTCTACTGTGGCCGTCATGTCTGCCCGGAGAAGGGGTGCCAGAGGGAGAAGGCGAGGCACCAGAAGCGCTGCCTGGGACACTTGGATGCTCGGCAGCTTTGCCAGCACTTTAACTGCTGGGCGAGGCCCAAGGAGGGCTCTACGTTTTGCGACGCGCACGTCAAGGAGGAGCCTGAGGCTTGTGAGGCCTGGGATATTGAGTTTGTTTATGTCTTCGTCACTGCTGTTCTGTTGGCTGTTGCTGTGGCTTTCTTTTATATGGAATGGTAGGCAGTTGGAGATATGTTTGTACAGTAGGGTCTGGAGTTGCATGGATATCAATTCTCGGAGTTCATGGATATCTTGAGTGGAAGCTCAACTTTGATATTTCTTAATAGTCAGATGCATTAGAATATCAACTGGAATTCATACTATCAAAGATATTCGTGTATCAGACATTCTCGTGGACAAGAAAATTGACAGCGCCCAAGAGAAAACAAGTCATAAAAGAAGAGAGAAGTTGAATGCTTTCCACCCGAACTTGAATATAACTTCAGAGATCTCCATCCCCTAGATTTGACCTTTTGCCCACCTACGCCTGAATGGCAATATCTGCACACGTCAGGTAAACCTGCGGAGTCTGCCAGGAGTTCCACTTGAAAGACAGCAGCGTGTGGTTGGAAACGTACTCCGGGATCTTGATCCTAGAGCTGACCGTGAACCCGCCCGCGATGGACGTGTAGCACGAGTTGAGCGGCGCGCCGTCCACGCCCTGGCACCTCCCGCCCTCGAACTTCTGGCACGTGAACCAGTCGTTGCGCCAGCACGCCTGGCCCGAGCTGCAGTCCTCGCTGTACGGGCACGCCTGGCCCTCGACGTCTGTGCACGGCAGCACGCCGGCCTCGAAGCAATCCTCGGCGGCCTGCTTCTCCTCGAGGGTGGGCAGGTAGTTTGGGTCGAGGAACTTGTCGACGAGGGCCTGGTCCTGGCAGATGCGGTAGGAGAACATGCCGCCGTGGTCGCCGTTGTGGTCGACGCACCACTGGACGTCGATGGTCTGGCCGGGGGAGTATGTCGCGACGGTCGACTTGCCCCAGTTGGCGCCGGGCTGGTTGTAGTCGACGCTTACACGGGCGTTGTAGCCGCAGGGGCCGGAGCGGGATACCTGGGCGGCATCTAGGTCTGGCCAGGCGGTCACTGGCTCCAGGATGGTACACTCGGGGCAAGTGTCTGGGCCGGCCTGGAAGAGAGGATTGTTGTGTTAGTCGTTGGAAAAGGGGGTTGGGGGTAAATGGGGTGGCTACCTGAGCGTTGAGGCCTGTTCGACTCATTGGTTTAGTCAAGTAGCCATGGCCAAGTGCCTGGCCAGCAAGGAATGCGATTGGGAGCGCTTTATGAAGCATGGCTGAGCTGATCAATTCAATGAGTTGGTTTCGATGGGTTGATTGTGTTAGGAGAATGTGAAGGTGTCTATGGAATGGTTGAGGTCAAAGTATCAAGGGAGGATCTAGTCCTTAATATACTTGAATTTTCATAAATGTTTAGCCATATAGACGGAGGAATTTACTCTAGAAGCTACTGTGAGAACAACAAGCGTCGGTGAAAGTCATGAGGGTGCCTTAGGTCGGCCCGAGCCAAACCAGTGCCAAATCACCATGACGATGCAACATGACAGAACGGCTCAAGAGGCTCTATAGGATTGTGTTTAGACACCAACCCCAGGTTAACTTAAGGTTGTGTGCCTGAAAGGGTCATGTTTAGACTGGGGAAGAGGGGCCTCGGCCACATTGCGGCGGTTAACTCTCGGCGTATTGGGCTGGATAAATGCAGAGCGGCATCATCTCACAGGGGAGAGAAGAGTCGAGGCGGAGTTAACTCCGCACCTTGCTGCTCTGTTATATTTTTACACGGGCCGATCCGGACTGGCTTCGTGACCATTCACATGCAAGCTTCAGTCTCTATTTGGAAGTATACGCTCATTGTAGCGCGGAACACCAACTACCGATGCCTCGAAAGAGAATATTCACCGAGCTCTTCTCGTTATAAGCAGAAGATCAAACACAGAGGCTGTGGGTAGAAGTAGAAACCGCACTTAAGACTCTCTTTCATTTTTCCCCGGAAAAAAAGATGGTTGGAGAGTAGAGCTAGGGCAAGAATGCCTTGTGATGAGACGGGCCTCTGTCGGACCGACGCCGTCAATCGAGGTTACATCGAATCCAACAAGAGTGGGCATTGAGTTCATCTGACCGAAGAGAAGATCACACGAATTACCAAATTTCATCATAGCTTCTCTTGCTATTCGTAAGTGTACTTCTTTGCCAGGAGATGTTGCCGGGTGCAAAGATTTACTGGCCTTATGTACGGAGCCATTGCCATGGGAATACTAGTAAATGTCCCCCCATTCAATATTATCTTGGTTATATAGGTATAAGTCCATTGAGACTCAATGCTGAATCCAACGGAAATGTAGTTGAGTAGGAGGAAGCCACCAGAGTACCTCTGCCTGCAGTCGTGAAGACTTCTATAGATCAAGAGAATTTCCCTGCATCCTTAGGAGCCCTTTTGCAGTTGCAGGTAATGCAAGGTAAGACATATCACCCAGCGAGCAAGCCGCACACACGAAGAATCAGTCAGTAGCTGTGCTTGGCCTAATGACAGGGGATCGAGATGGTTGATAGTTGGACTCTTTTTTTACTTAGGGGTACCTTTATGATTAGCAGGGGAGCACCTGGTGAATCCAGGACATCTCAGGTTAAAGTAGTAATTGTATTATGTCAATGAATCGCCCTTTTCTAAATGATAAGGCTACAGGCAAGCACCAGGAAACGGGATCAGTAGAACTAATGAAGTCGAAACCAATCATTGTAGAAGACTGACAGGAAAAGAGGACGAAGGAAATAATACATGAATAACCCGAACGGAGCCCGGTGCGAAGCCGTATCGGACACCGAGCCTCATCTCCAGCATTCTGCATAATCAGATTCAATGCCCAACTAAGTTGGCTCCTCAGCTGATTCAAGTAACGCACGCTTTAAAAAGGCGTCCACTCGCTTCAGCCCATACCCATGCGAACCGCAGTTATGGCCTCCTTCTGGAATAAAGACAAATTCGTACATCTTCTCCGCCTTGTTCAGTTGCTGAACAAATCTCATAGTTGATGCAGGATTGAGGGTCGAGTCCATTCCTCCAACCACAAGCATCAACTTTGCATCATCTGGAAGCTCCCCAGCATGGCTCACATTTGACTGGTGGGCAAATGATAAGTTGCCAATTGGATAGCCTAACCACTGCTCAGCCCACCAATGAGGGACAAGGCTAGCATCATGTGTACCTGAGTCAGAAACAGCAACCTTGTAGAAGTGGCCAAAATGAAGCAACGCGGCTGCAGCATTATACCCTCCGAAAGATGTGCCAACGATAGCCATTCGATCCAGGTTCATCCAACGTCGCGTCTTTGCAGCCTCTTTTATCCAGATGATACGATCAGGAAAACCTCCATCATTCAAGTTTCTATAACAAACATCGTGAAATCGCTTGGAGCGCCAATTGGTACCCATGCCATCAAGCTGAACCGAGACATAGTGTCCGGTTGCCCAGGGACCGTTATAAGCAACTTGCCCAAAGCTTTTCGGTGTAAAGAAATCGTATGGGCCTGCATATACTGACTCGATTACAGGATACGAGCGAGTTATGTCGAAGTGGAGGGGCTTGGTAATGATGCCGTAAATCAGGGTTTCCCCATCTCGTCCAGGGCAATGGAACCTTTGAGGCGGGACCCAGCCCTGCAGCTTGAGCTTTCTAGCGGAGATACCCTCAAGTTTCAGTTGAACAATGCCCGTCTCTGAACATCGTACCACAGTCTGCGGAGGGAGGTCGACCCGTGACCAGGAGTCAACAAAGAACTGTTGGCTATCAAATGGCCAGCTCCAAAGATGGGTTCCATTTCCATCTGTTAAAGCCTGGCATCCCGTACCATCAAAGTTAACACGGACCAGATGCAAGTGGTACGGGTCTTCGCCTGGGTGGAATCCATATGCAGACAGCCAAATTCTCTGGGTCTTCTCATCAATGCGGTCCACCACAGCCACATTCCAATCGCCCTTTGTGATCTGGTTGTGTATCTTGCCTTGTTGTAAGTCGATCAGATATAAATGATTATGGCCATCTCTCTCACTGGCCCATATCATTTTATCAGAGCCAGATAACTGGGTATAGTATAGCTTTGATGCGACGTCAATGAATGTGTTGCTGTTCTCTTCGTACAACACTCGGATTGACCCAGATTGATGTATGCCCAGAACTCTTAAGACCTGGTGGCCGCGCCCATCATATAAGAATCGATACTCTGACCCATCCGGACTCCAGCCCAAGTGATGTAGCTGATAATGATTTGAGAATAGAGCATCCTCTGTCGGAACTTCACATTTTGAAGCAAGATTGAAAAGACGAGGGCGATCAACTCGAAGGCGGTCCGTTGGAAGGAATTTATATTCTTTGATTAACCTTGGATTAGGTTGAAGGTCCGAACAATACTGAACCCAGTATTCATCAGTGGCACTGCCAGATGTGTACTGCCAAGCAACGGCGTAATCATTGTTCGGGGAAAGGTAAAGCATGGATCCGTCGTAGTGAGAGTCCTCGGAATCAGATAACTCTGCAAGCAGGGACTAGCTGCCTTGATCGTCCTTCAGCCACAAATTGCCGTCCAGAACATATATTTCGGTTCGGTCTTCGCCACTCAGTTCTTCTTGAACGAGGGTGACTTGCTGTTTTTCAGCCTCGTCATCCCCTCCCACCTCATCACCATTCTCCAACTCTCCCACCTTATCGTCATTCTCCAACTCTCCCACCTCATTGCCATTCTTTAACTGATCATCCGCAGCACCATTCTCTAACTGAGTATCTGCAGCACCATTTTCTAACTGAGCATCCGCAGCACCATTCTCTGGCTGAGCATCCGTAGCGCCATTCTCTGGCTGAGCATCTGCAGTACCATTCTCTGGCTGAGCATCCGCGGTACCATTCTCTGACTGAGCATCCGCAGCACCAGCAACGGTAGGACAGACCCAATGGGCAGTCCTAGTGTTATGATCCAAATAGAACACACGCCCGTTCTCATCTCTCCGCTGCTCCCAGCCATAGGGAAGTTCGGCATCGCCCAGATACTCGTCGACATCAACCTCGCCCACATATACAACGTTGTATCCAGGGTTTGTGACACAATAGATGCCTCTCAGCTGGTGTGTATCTCCATCCTCAATCCTCCAGACAGCTTTGACACTTGTTTTTTGGAACACCGTCTTGCCACTCGGGATGGGCATGAAGTAGTTCGCTGCCCCAAATCCGTCCACGAAGAACAGATCCAGCTTTGACCTCGTAATGTTGACAAAGCCAACTGTGGCGTGCGGTGAAGACAAGGTAGAGCCGCTGGGCTCCTGTCTCCGCATCAGGAGAGCGTTTCCCTGAGTAAACTTCCCCGGCCACCCTGATAAGCCTTTTTCGGGATCGTATTGCCAAATGTGCTCCTGGAAGCGGAAGCGAACGACAGAGTCTTGCAGTTCGATCCAGGTAAAAGGCAGATTGCCTCCGTCGATTTTATTTCCTGTAATTCTCCCGAGGGCACGAGCTAGTCGATGATGATCAAAAGCAGGTCTGACGGACTTGGCGAGAATGTCAACAAGGATGAACTTGAATTTGCTGAATCTGCCTATATCGACTTGTCGACGGTACCAGAACGAGTTGCCTCCAGGCAGCCACTGCGGGGCAACAAACGTCTCATGGAAACACTTTTCCTCGAGGTAATTCGTCGTAACTTTTTCCTCCATTCTGGGTGTCGTTGTTTGATGTGTGCGTGTGTGTGTGCTCTTAGGTTTGAATGGTGCGGGAAAATAGAAGTCGAGTGACTCCTTGGTTGACTGTTGGTTCTTTCCCAAAAAAACAAGGCCTAAACTTCCAATTGAGAAGAGGGTTCACAACATAGAAGTTGTATCAGCAACAGTTCCTGCCTCTCGTGAATTCACTTGACCTGGTCCCCGCCCCAAAATGCAGTCTCTTTGGTCAGACATCCTCGCCGTCGCCGCTGGTGAGAGCATCTGGTGAGCTGTATCATGATTGACACCAAAGTCGTTGTTTTCAAGCGATAAATGGAATGCACCAAATTCAAGTCCAAACTGCCTTTTTCAAGAGGGCATGACTCCTATTACGTGCCATCGGTTCTCAGTGATTCTCTGAAGGGCTAGACTTCTGCCACATGGTAGTTAGATGACCGCATTTGGGAGGGCTCTGGACCTGGTCAAGGAGAAATATCACACAGGCAGTTCTAGCAGCATGCCACTCCGAGAAGGTATGTTGGATACACAACCTGACCTCGATATCTCAGATGACACTCGTCCTATCAGTGAGATGATTAAGAAAACTTGCCATGGACGGACAAGACAAGTCCACCTCCACCTCCGCCACCAACTCCGACCCATGCACGCCCTCCCCTCTTGATTCTTCCAGTGCCGTTCCCTTGAATAAATTGGCGAGGGGTCCAGGCACATCGAATCAGCCCGCCGGGCCATCAGTTGCGCCATCGAGCGACGGTGCGGTGCACTCATCGTTCCGGGCCCAACGTCGAAGCCGGCCGGGCATGAGCCGCCAATCTCCCGAACAGGCAATGTAGGCCATTTTGTTGTACCTATACGCCCAAGTGTGTATGCGTAAACGCAGAGACTTGTCAGAACCAATCACGTTGTCAGAGAGCTCTGGTTACTGAAGGAAAAGGTTGCGTCCAAGACTCCCGAGGGTGGGCTGACAAAGGCGTCTCTCAGCCATTGATCTAGATGGCGATAGTGTGGGCGGCGCCTCTCCGTGTGTCTAGCAATTCGGGGTTGGATTTAGGTTGGCGCTTGATGTCTCGGTACTTGAATCGCGGCATCAAGACGTCAAACTAGCGTAGTCGTATGGGTGTCACATTATTGTCGCCACAGCCAACCGTGAGCATCATCCATCCAGCTATGCCATCAGAACCAGGGACGGCGAGATGATGTGCCCAGCCCGAACCTCCGGTGACATTCTTCAATCGCTTCCGCCCGTCCTTCCAGCGAGCAGTTCATCCGCCCCGTCCGTCCCATCCGTCCTCGAGCCATCTCCACCCCTCACCCACGTCTGACCCTGCAAATATGGGCCATCAATTACGTCAAACGACTCCGTGATTCCGGCCGTATAATCGGGGCCCTCGTTATCCCCTCCCACCGATTCAACTGACAAATCATGCGTTCAAGCCCCGGATAACCTTGGCCTAATTGTATATTAACCGGCCGTTTCACCTTTCTGAGGAGGGTTTGCGGCAAACATCTTCAAAAATCATCATCAAAAGTTCACAACAATGGCTCAAGAGATCCCCAAGACGGTCAAGCAGTGGTCAGTCTCTGACTTCACGGGCTTCGATGCCCTCAAGTTCAGCGAGGAGCCCATCCCTGAGCTCGGAGACAGCCAGGTTCTCGTCAAGTGTACGTTTGCCTAGTTCACCCACCCCTCACCAGTTGAGCGAGTTGCTAACCCATGTTCACAGTCCACGCCGCCTCTCTGAATGTAAGTCAACGCCAACTTCCACTCTTCTGGAAGTAAAGACAAGAAATACTGACATGAAACTCACTCTCAGTACCGTGATCTCATTATCCCGAAAGGCCTGTACCCCTTCAAGATGGAGAAGGGTATCATCCCCGGTTCCGACGGTGCTGGAACCGTCGTCGCCGTGGGAAAGCATGTGGACCGCTTCAAGGCTGGCGACAATGTGATCACCCTCTTCAACCAGGGCCATCTAGGAGGTTCTCTCGACCTGCAGAGCGCTGGTACCGGTCTCGGCGGTGCCATCGACGGTGTTCTGAGAACCTACGGCGCCTTTGACCAGACCGGCCTCGTCGCCATGCCCTCCAACCTCAGCTTCGCCGAGGCATCCACCCTGCCCTGCGCGGGCGTGACCGCCTGGAACGCTCTGTACGGTGTCTCCGACAAGAAGCTCCTCCCGGGCCAGTGGGTCCTCACCCAGGGCACCGGCGGCGTGAGCATCTTCGGTGTCCAGCTGGCCAAGGCCGCCGGCGCCAAGGTCATCGCGACGACCAGCTCGGCCGAGAAGGGCAAGCTGCTGGAGAAGCTGGGGGCCGACCACATCATCAACTACAAGGAGACGCCCAACTGGGGCGAGAAGGCCAAGGAGATCACGGGCGGCCGCGGCGTGGACCACGTCATCGAGGTGGCCGGCCCCAAGTCAATCGCCCAGAGCCTCATCGCGAGCAAGATTGACGGCGTCATCACCATCATCGGGTTCGTCGGCGGCGTCAAGGGCGAGCAGGAGCCTGGGTTCCTCGAGGCCCTGAACAAGCTCGTCACGATCCGCGGGATCCTGGTCGGGAGCAGAGTGCAGCTGGAGGAGCTTGCGGCTGCAGTGTCGGCCAACCCGGATAAGCTGCGCCCGATTATTGATCCTAAGAAATTCAAGCTGGAGGAACTGAAGGAGGCATACGAGTATCAGTGGTCGGCCCAGCACCAGGCCAAGGTTGTCATCGACATTGCATGAATCGAGGGTTCTAGTTCGGGTTTTCTGATGGGTGGTTTGTCGTAGTGCTGTTGTGAAAAGGGCATCTTAATTATCCATGATGATTCCTTATGACTCAAAGAATTGATATCCAAATTGTATCGCTGAGGATGGGCCCTCCAGAAGTGAATTGCCCCGATCAGAAATCACGCACACTGGTATTCACTGTGATAATTGTTGCGCCACGCGTATGGCAGTAATGCCAAGCGCCAGAACCTCATCCGAATACAACATCGGAAACAATAAATAAGGTTGTTCAAGGTTGGCACGATGCGTGAGCTCGTACCTGCATAATTTAAAGGTCCAGCTTCAGGGGAGACACCCGATAAGTGCAATCATTCCAAACTATGCCTAAACCGGGGCGACATCACATGTCGCCATCCGAAACGGCCAGTGATGGCAAGGAAGAGGACAAGTAAGACTCATGAGAGGCATTGGACGGGTATCTTGCAAAATATTGAAGAAATAGAGTAGACATAATTCTCTCAAGCAGCATTCACAGGTCCATTTCACCACCTCTCGCCACCGCCTCCCCGCATCGTTGGGCAATGTCTCAGCCAGACGAACAACCCACCGTCCTGCAGGTGCCCTTGGCGTCGACCCCAGCTCGCCCCAAATCATCGTCATCGCATGCAAACTCACCTTTATCTTTCCCGGGGAGTGTGCCCGGTGTCAATTCTCAGCTCCAGGGCGGCCTAGTTGTTTTCTCCGGCGGAAGCGCAGCCAACAATCTCGTCGATGTGTTTGAGCACGTCCGTGACGCCAACCAGTGCACACTGAGCTATGTCATCCCCATCTCAGACAATGGCGGCAGCAGTAGCGAGATCATCCGTGTATTTGGCGGTCCAGGTATGTCTACAGCGGCTTTTAGGCAGAATGGCAGCTAATCATCACCGGCACTCCAGGAATTGGCGATGTGAGATCGCGGCTTGTCCGTCTGATCCCCAACAACGACAACCCTGAGAACATTGCCATCAAGAACTTCTTCAATCACAGGCTCCCTCGGGTCCATTCGAGCGCTCGCGCAGAATGGTTTGAGATCCTCGAGGCAACCCACCCGCTATGGGACCACATCTCCTCTCCCAAGCGCGAACTCATCCGGTCCATCCTCAACAGCTTCAATCTCGAGGCCGTCAAGCGCATGCGGCCAAGCAGTCGCTTCGACTACTCCGGGGCCAGTATCGGGAATATCTTCCTGACGGGTGCAAGGCTGTTTACGGGAAGTTTCGAGGCTGCCATTTACCTCCTCAGTTCCATATGCGCCGTGCCGGAGCGCATATCCGTGCTGCCGGCGCTCAACACCAATTTCGCCCATCACATCGCCGCCGGACTCAAGGATGGTACTATCATCACAGGCCAGAATGATATCTCACACCCAAGCGTGCCTACGCGCGCAGTCCCCGGCTCAGGGCTCATCACCCCTGGGGTCCAGACGCCCGTGCCAGAGACGGAAGAGCATGACAAGGTCGAGGATGCGAACCTCCCTGGTTCGCTCCCGTCATTGAGACGCCCAGCAATCGTGTTCTCCAAAGACGATGAAGAAGACTTGCCCTCGAGAATCGACAGGATATGGTACATCAACCCCTACGGCCAGGAGATTCGCATCCCCGCCAATCCCCGCGTGCTCGACGCACTGCAGAGCGCCAACACCGTCATTTACTGCATTGGGTCGCTATTTACATCGCTTATCCCCAGTCTGGTGTTGAAAGGCGTGGGTGATGCCATCGCCAGCCCCCTCATCCGCAAGATTCTCATCCTCAACGGCTCCCTCGACCGCGAAACGGGACCGGCAGACGAGCCGATGAGCGGTCTGGACTTTGTCGCCGCCATCGCCCACGCCTGTTCCAATTCCAGGGGTCTTCCAAAGCCGTCCGAGGATGAGTACTGCCGGTACGTTTCCCATGTCATATATATCGAGGGCCCCACGGCGCCAAAGGTGGACAGGCAGCTCTTCAGCCAGCTGGGAATCGATTGCACCAGAGCGTATGGACCGAAGGACGGGTCGGGACGAGGCGGTAGGTATGATAGCAAGGCACTGCAGCAAGCGCTTGAGTCTATAGTTGGGCGGAAAGATTCACGCCTTGATAGAAGCCGTCGGAACACGTTAGTGGGTTGATGACCGGTGATTCTGATTCACTTTGCATTACCCAGCCAACTTTCAAGATGAGCAACTTGGGAAGAGCATATACGCGACCTTTTTCGACATATATCACAATGTAATATAATGGTCATTAGTTTTGTCTTTTT